AGTTGAGCATCTCTTTAACACATTGACGACAGTGGAACGCGGTTGCGCGCCTCACGCTGCGGGCCGCGTTGGACGCTGGGGCGTGGTTGCGCGTCTCACCCTTGTCAGCCCTTTATCCGGTAGATGCGCGGCTTCTTCCCAAGTTGTTTGTAACGACCCTTTAAAACATGCGGGGACTCAACGACAGACGCCGTGGTCTATGAATTGGTTTGATATGTTTGAACACAACTGCTGAACCTGCTTGTTTTGGACGCTTGACAGTTAAGTGGAAGCTATCGACGCTACGCACAGTTTGAATGCGCCTCTTGTAGGAGGTTGTGTAGGCCTTTCCGAGCCGACCCCTTTCTTCGCCTCCAGAGCTCTAGCACTTTCAACATCCTTATCTATTTGATTCTATTTTTGTTGACAAAGGTATGTGATTGTAACAAGTTTGAATCGGAAAATACGCTTCTGAACTTTGGACACAAAAGCGGTGGAAACTTCCCGAACAATCCAATAGGAATGTTATGTGATTGAATCTCCTTGAATCAATTCGTAGCTGTTGTGTTGTTTCGTCATACTGATTGTGTGAGTTTCCTGTCAGACGGTGTGCGTAGTGCGACCCGAGGTTCGCCGTGTTATTCTGATGACGACGACAGTCTGCCATCTCGACATAGTAGGACTGACAGCGGAAGAGGTAGAGACGGCGGAACTTTCAGAGAGCGTCGTGAAATAAAGGGTAGGGCTTATATATTTGAAGAGAGATATGAGTTAGTTACTAACCCATCGGACGTTTTACAGGAATTATTTACATGGAGGAGGGAAAGCTAATTAAATGTAGTAAATCTCCTTTATGCGGATAGCCCATCCCATCACTTGTGCAATGAATTCAATAAATGCTATTGAATTTTTTTGACGTTAGCCTTTAGTGAGGCGTGTTACCGCTCGGCCGTTTAGTAAATCTTTTGCACGCTTCTCATAGTCCCTTATCGTTTATGGTTTATCAGTTTAGCATCGCATAGTAAGGCACACGCGTCACACGAGGCTTCAATGATATGGCAAGGGTGATCGAAGTTTCTGACTTTAACCGCAATCCCCACTGCTGGGTCTCCGTCTCAACTGGCAACTCGCGCCTTTACCCATTTCCCCTTTTCTACTGCTGGGAACCAAACTGGGATTTTTTCCACCTTGTGATCGATCCATTTCAGTGCATGACCAATTATGTGAAGAGGATCCAGCTTATTTCTTACGCTTTTTGTACTTCATAGCCTGTGCACTCACTACTATTGGTAAGAGTTTAGGTAAAGAAGGTGAACATGTTGCGCCTCTATGATATGTTGAAGGGGAGCTTTCATCCAAAAATGTTAGGGCACGTTCAGAGATCCTTTTTAATATCCTGAGTGGTAAAAGTCCCCAAATGGGCGTCTCCACTCTCAGCTGCATCTGACCAGTGTACAGCTGTGTTTGGAAGTCTTTTTATTCCAACACTGGAAAACATCCTTCGGGGATAGCAATTTGTTAAAGCAAAGTTAACAATCAAAGCTTCCACTTATTGGACACTCGCTTTGCTTGCTTGAAAGTTGCATGCCAGAATCTCAGATCGGTTGCCGATTACTGAAGTTCGTGAATTTTTGTAGTCGTATTTATGGCTTATTGTGAATGATCCATCTGTTATTTGTAGTTGTTGAAAAATTGATTTGTGTGCATTCTTCTGTGCATTGAAGTAAGTGTACGAAATCTCACACCGGAATCATCGATCGAATTTATTCAGATTTGGGTCCACAAGTTCGCTACCCTTGCGGTCGACCACCACCACCACCTCGCAATGACACGAGACGAAGCGGAGGTGGTGACAGTAATGGTCCACGTCATTCGTCGTCACGGCAAGAAAAAGTCAAAGACTCAGCACCACGTTCACGACGTGATTCACCACACAGTACCACTTCTACTAAAGCGAAGTCGCGCAGTGGAAGGTATTTTTCGGTGTCCTCCATGCAGTCTCATGAGTCTTCTGATATTTGTTCAGCAACAGGATATCTCCATCTCTTGATGCATCTCCGATAAGCAGCGACTCCTCGCTTTCACCCTCAAGGAGCCCTCATAAAGGTGCTGGAGCCGCGCACACGGACAAAAATGGGGATAAAAAAGGTATTTTTCCTTAGTTACTAGCGATCTTTCAGATGTCTTCACGTCTATTTTACAGCAAAGAAGAAAGTTCAAAGCGGCGGCGCTATGGGCGATGTGACTGATCCGTGGGCTCGAAAAAAGAAAACAAACACGTGGTCGAAGAACAATAGTGAGAAGGCGAGAGGACGCTCGTCAAGCAATAGCTCGTATGATTTAATTTCATGGTCTGATTTCTACATATAGTTTTGACCTAATTACACATTCAACTTATTCACAGATCGAGTTCAACGAATAGTAATGAGAAACTTCGCCGTGCAGCAGCTGCATCTACAACTACTCGTACTTCACGTCGAGCGCGTTCACCACCAAGCACCAAGGTTTACGAGCAATACTATTTTCGTAATTTTTCTGTGCGCTCCTGGTGATTAAATGTGGAAGTTTCTCTTCACTGTTCCGTCGACACAATATCATTCTCCTTATTTCTGATTTGATTCTATTTAATACTGTATAGCTTTGTTTGTAACACTTGTGATGCTTACATTTAGGTTGAAAGACGACTATCGCCACCAAGGGGAGATATCGCAGGTTTCCGTATTCCAAAAAAGCACCGTGCGGCATCATCTCGTGATCGAACATCTAGGTTTGCAATTTTCATTTCAAATCCATTTCACGATTCAATTGGTAATCAGTTGATCAATTATTGTTCAACTTCTGCGATTTGCTTATTGCAGTGCTCGTGGGGACGGTGATTTTGGGCGAGACATAGCGTTTTCGAAGAAATCCGGTGTGAATTCTCTCCCACCAAAGGTATAAGAGATTTCCTCTCTGCTCATTTGCAGATGATTTCAGTTCACTTTGAAAGTTGTAATGTGGATTTATTGCAGAAGTCCGACTCAAAAGAAGGTTCGCGAACCGAGTCGAGTATCCGATGATGAGGTTGGGGATGCAATGGAAAGCCGTGGAGCTGAGAACATCAGCGATGTTTGTGTTTTTCTTTGACGTTAACGTAGAATTTTGAAGCTGCGAACTTTTTCTTCTCCCTCGCACTAATCCCGCGCAGTCGCACGGTCCGCAGCTCTTATTAGACGTCGCCACGTGGTCCTGTTTAAGGCATCTTCTGCCTTATTTTGAAGCTGCGAGCACAGTTCAAAAGCAAAGGATGCTGCCTAGTTTCAGTCGGAATCTGCTCAATCGGCTAGCAGAAGCTCCTCTGTAGTTTCGTCGTCTTCGTCTAGAAGTTCTTCCCAGAGTCGATCTGTTTCGCCTGCTCTGCCAGCCAAGTATCGTGTGGCTAGTGGTAAAGAGGACGCTACTGCTTCGGTGGAAAAGTGAGCATGTTGTTCTTTTGCGGTTGCATCCTCATAAATGTATTTTCTGCTTTTCCATTGTTTAAAGTTACCAGATATTTCAGAAATGTTACGTCAGTGTCTGATTCGGATGATGAACAGAAAAAGAAAAACCGTTCTAAAGGTGCTTCGAAGGGGAAGCGTGCTGCGTCGCCGCGTCTTCGTGAAATGTGAGTACCTCCTTTTGGATGGTGAGTAACTGTTAATCGTTGAAATTTTTTCCATTTTAGATCACCATCGCCATCTCCTCCACCACCACCACCTCCACCAGATGATGCTAATGGTCGTCGACGTCAGCGTGAAGAAACACCTCCTCCACCGCCACCTCCTCTTCCTTTAATAAATGAATTTGTCTTGGAAAGGCAGGCCAGAAAGTCGAAGTCCGTCACGGAAAAGCGTTCATCGACTGAGAAGCTGAAACGGGACAGAAGTCCGCCGAAGAAAAAGGCCAAGGGTAATCATGACGGTGATTGTTCCTACCATTTTCTAATTTATAATATCAGTCAGTGCCTCATATCCTCTCTCAATGCTTGCTTTTCCTTAAAGGTCTGACCGAAAAGGAACGACGAAAGCGAGAACTAATGGAACAGCTGCGAGCAGTTGAAGAAGAGCTAAAGAAAAGGACGGCGGCCACATCTGCTTTGTGAGACAATTGGCTTTGCAAACTGTGGAGATTTGACCGGGAATTTTGCGGTTTCCTTGTTGCTAGCTTACTGCCTGGGGTTTGGTATTATATAAAAGCATAGCAAAGCTCTTGTTATGAATTTTCAATATCTCGCTGAAAAAGCATCACTCTTTTTTAGTGTATCTGGGTAAAAGTGATAAAAAACATGGGCTACGGTAGTAAAAGACGGCGGGCATGTTTTAGACGTGAAAGGATTGTTAATTTATTAGCCTGTCGAAAAAACTGTGGGAGAATTGTTTCTGTTTTACACTTGCAACAGTAATTATTATTTGATTACTTGCAATCTCTCACTGGTTACCTATGGCTCACATATACATATATACATAGAATGCAATCATCAAAGGATGGACATCAAAGTAAATTATTTTGTTTGGAACGCTCATCATTGCAATTTTACTTTTTTCTTGGTGTTACAGTATTGACAGAATGAGCTGCCTGTTTTGCTTGGCCGTTTGATTTACTGACACAACTAGTTTCGTTTCCTTTTTCTACAAAGATCGTTCATTGAGTAACCTAAATAACATCTAGTCAGTACTTGGATTAATTTGCGAGTCTTTTAACTATTTTGGGATTGAAAGAGTTTCTGTTTTTTTTTCAATAGGTTCAGGTATTTTTTATTTAGTAATCCTCGTCACATTGTCTTACTGATGCAACTAGAAGTGCTGATTTTTCTGAGCTGTTGATTTTTAATTTCTGCTCATTGTAATATAAATTTTAATCCAATGTGTTACGTCCCACGTTATCTGACATTTTTCTTTTCGCGATAGTGTTTTTTGAAGTTTTTCTAGTTATGGAATTGTGTGCTTTCCTTTTTGTCTCTTGGAGGGCCTGATGTGAATGTTGGTCGTCCATTCATCCTATCCAAACCGATCTATCATTCCTATCACGGGCGACCGAGCAGCCACAGTTGAACCGCCAAGTCCAACACGGACTAGATTTGCGTTTTGACAATACGCCTTGATGTATAGATGGAAATGTGCAATCTCTTCCTCAGAAGCGGCAACAGCTTTTGCAGGAATGAAGCAACATTGGAAAGAAGCACTTTCACTGCGACTGTCTAAAAGCCAACGAGTTTGTTACTCTGAAAAACTATTCCATAGCGCAAGGTGATGTTTCAGAAAGCTGCATCACTCAAGAAGTTCGGTGGGGAGTAAACCTCGTATTGACTTCTGTTCAGATCAGCGAAGTCTCCTATCACGGTCTGTAGTTATCAGATTAGTCGAGGGAGGGGGGGGGGGGGGGAGGGAAAGGGGTTGGACCTTGGTTTGTAATTCTTCCGGCCCTTGAAACATCTGCTTAGCTTGTCGCATTTCAAGTGCGCTAGTGGTTCATACAAGTCCACAACTACATGAGGGACACATTCTCAAAAGTTCGTGCTCGAATTGAAGCATATATTTTTCAACCGGGCGGGGCTTTTCATTTAGAACGAAATAGCGGCTTCATTTTTCTGCCCAATGCCCAGAGGACAATAACCGCATTCTTCTATACTCAAATATCGGTGAGTTGCGTATATCGCCGAAAATATGTTCGATGATAGAAACTACGTGGATAAGCTGCTTCCAACATACATCGCTGGCTATCAGCAAAGCATGCTGGCAACAGCTTATCCACGCACTTCTATCAAGTGCACTTCACTTCCGGTGACACACCCACCCCAACTTTCGGATATCGACTGTAACTGAGCCTTGCAACAGTGGAGATCTAATCAGCGCTATTTTTACCGGTAGTATCGATAGTAGCCAACCAGCTTACCAGTCTAAAAATGAAAAAATTCAAAAGCATGCGACTTTTTCTCTAAAGTCAGCCGACGCCACCAGGCTGGCCTGAAAAATAAAGAAAAGAAAACTGTCTTCGGCGCTAATTGTGCTTTGAAGGACACGACTCAGGATCGAATTGGTGTTTATTTTGTTCGAAATTAGACAAGAAGTGCAATGAGGAACAGTGGGAGAAAAAGCAAAAAGCACCATAGAAAACACTAAATTTCCCTTAGGAGGCCGGCCGTAGTACGACGGAGAGACACAGCGCTGCGAGGAGAGGGAGAACGCGAGATAGTACGTCGTACGCGAGAGGGCGCAGAGACCACGTATGCCGTGGTTGATAAGGATGGCAGCACGGCAGCACACAAGGCAAGGCCTTAGCGCCGTTGCCTCGCACTTTTGAGTCGCGACAGTGTCGTGCCTCCTGCCCTTGGGGACCCCTCTTTCTCACTCTAGAAGGACTGGCTCTTGGGACCTAATCCCGACTTGGCTTTAAGTGAGCGTTCAAAAGACAGATTACTGAGTAGAGGTCCGTTATGTTGCGTTGTTGTTGTTAAGATGTGCTACATCTACACCCAGTTATCCGTCCATTTATTCTAGCAAATCGATTACTAACGCAAAATGGGCAATCAAGACGAGGAGCAAAGACTAGGTGTGTTACATCTGGACAAGACCCATAGTCGCAAGAGAAATCCGAAGAGAACGAAAAGAACAAATTTCACGAGAAGTGCTCTTACTGAAGAGGATAAACGCGCGCTAAGGTATCTGTTGGTATACAACTTGATTCTTTTTTTTTTACAACTCTCTGGTGTCCATGTTTTCCGTATTAATCATCTGTTGTCTCCAATTATTTGCTCTGATTGGCGCATGTGGAAAAGCCCCTTCTGTTACCTACGAAGTTTAGGTATGCTCAAGTTGAGCCGTTGTACCAGATGTGGTGTGATTACTATCGCAGCTTATTAGGGGAAAAAGAGAAGACACCGGATGAGCGCATGTTGAAGGCCGACTATCACGGTGCTCTAGTTCTTGTTGCCGAAGCACACAACCCTACTATGGTGAGGCAATAACTTTTTAGTATGCGCTGTTGTGTCGTAGCTAGCAGCTGTTCATTCAGATTGGTATCGTTGGCATAATCATACTGGAAACAAGGCAGACGTTCCAGTTGATAACGAAAGATGACAAATATTTAGGTGAGTGCGCATCAAAGATAGTTAAGTTGAATAACCTCAGGGATAAGTCATCCGGCGTCAGTACCTTCAGTAGTTATCAATGCTTCCTAGAATGTGCTGCACATCTCCTTCCCCTTCGAAGTCATGAATGCGGTTTGGTGTGTTAAGTGACTTGCGAGATTTATAGTCAAGTTAGCGTGTTTATTCTCCAAAATGTCTGAGGATGTTGTCTTACAGACATTGGCGGGATGGAGGCCTTTGTTAGTTGGTCCCGAGTCTCATCACGGACCGTGCCTGTGATATAGCCCTTGACACGATGGACAACCGCCCACTTTCACCTTTGCACCTTCTGTGCTTATATCCAAAAGCGTTTATGCAAGAGTTCTGTACGAATCGGGCCTAGTCGCGCCCCTATTGTATGATTCGAAGCGCAACGGCAAGAATCGCCAATTGATAATTGTGTCAACGATTACCTTATGTTTGGAACTATGTTTGAATCCACTACTTATTGTTTTCCAGTGATCCCAAAACAAGGAACGGCTTTGCAGTTCATTCTTGATGGACGAGTATTTACGATATTCGGTGATGCAATGAGATACAAGCCCTCGCTCCGAGGTAAAAAGCATCGTCTACGTGTTGCATTACCATTTTTTATTAGATAAAATATTTATCCTATTTCGTTTGAGCTGACTGTGTCTTGGTAATAGTACTTAGCCGACCAGTCTCTGACGCAGGCGGTCACGACGCGTTCGTCCACTAGTTTCCAAGGAACAAAAACGGACAAAAACCTCATAGTGGTGACAATCCTTCAGGGTTGAAATATTCTGACACAGTAAACAGAACGTATGGATAAACAAACTATTACACAAACATTTATTAAGGCCTATGAATTTTTGCGGATATCACAATTAAATTTGTTGCTGTTCTTCGTTAAAGCTCAGCAATACACGTATACTTATAACAGTTACCCGAAAATGTTTCCTATACTTCAGTGGGTTCTAGATTGTCAGTGGTTGAGATGCAGATTGCAGAGAATGGTTGAGTAAGTCGTTTTCTAAAATAAGGGTAAATTATTTCCAAAAAATGAAATGCCTATAGTTTCTTCCATCACTCACCTTGTTAAGTGTTCATCAATCGTCGAAATACGATTTACTTTTCTATTTCTTTCCATCATCGTCACATAGGCGATCACCATCGAGAAGACAATAATCAAGATCCATGCAATTAATACGAGACTGATAGCAGCAGCAAAACGGGGTACTGCGGACAATGGAAATGTATGTTGAACGATATCTATAATTGAAAGACCTTAACACGTTGACGACATTGTGCAGCGCATGCGCATCACACCTTGAGCACCGCGTGGGACCGTGTGCAGCGCATGCGTTGCACACACAAAATATTTATTTTTTTCGTGCGCATGCGCTACTTCTTTTCTGATTTTTTGCAACTATTCCATAGACTGCACCATAATATGACTAGACACGGCGAGGTTCATTGAATGGTTGAATATGCTCCTTTTTAGCGAAGGTTTTCTAAGCCCTACGAATTTCCCAATTGTGTTCATTCCTAGTTTCCTTTATATTCTGATAATCTTGGTCATAAAAAAGAGCAGAAGTAAGTACAGACCCACACATATAGCAAGACATATGTTTTTAGTGGAGCAACCGCGTCAAAAATAATTTTGAGGTTCACTGCAGCAAAAGCAACTGAAACTTGCCTTTCATCGCCAGAAAACGTCAATTCGATCGATTTTTCACAGTTGTCCCTTCTGATAAGTTTGACACATCGAATATCATTCTAAACATTTTGTTGCATCCGAGTTTTGGGTATTTAAAGCTCAAAATTCACGGATTTGATGTGAGGCGGCGGCGCCTGCAAAATCGCCGTGGTCCCACGCGGTGCAAAAACCCAAAACGCGCGTTGTCGTCAACGTGTTAATTTGCTATATACTTAAGAAATTTCAGCAGTATCGCAAAACATAATAAGCTGATTCGACGAAATATTCGAAAATATCATAAATAATATTCAACCGATATCTAATGATGTAGTTGCTTTAAAGCTCAAGCCTAAACGGTGGTACTCTAGGTGGCTGTAGGAGCGCCAAATATTGTAGCCGCACTGCCGAGCCATAAGTTAAAATTACGCTACATTTGATAATTCCAATGCGAAGGGCACTTAGCTTAGAAGTTCAGCTATCGCGCCCACTTATATGTCATTAGAATGGGAATCTGACCTCAAGCTGCAATACTCGTCCTCTCAAGTTGGATTTTCCAGTTGTTGAATAGGGTGAAAACACTTATTGGGACATAGTCTAAGTTTTTGTGAGCCGAGCACCTATCCAACTGTTTCTGGGATTTCGAGTGGGATTAAATGCACGGCGCATTCTTCATGGGCATGATTGGCGTTAAGTTTATTTTCATTTATTCACTGTAAACACTATTATGCAATATTTCATTGCCGTAATCTATGATGTTTCACAATAAATTTGACACTGATCAATCAATCCCTTTTTGAAATGCGTCGCGCATTCGACTTATTTACATTGATGTATTCATTTTAAATGCGACATGGGTTTTTGCGGAAGACAACCGATGTATATATTATATTAGTGTTCCTACACTTTCAAATGGGTCTTGTACCAAGTGAATAGCCCTTGAGGGAAGAAAGGCTCGGCTCACTGGACGGGACTAGGTCCAAAATTTAGTCCCAGGTCTAGACCTCGCCACCTACCTCTGCCTCACTTCTACCGGTCGTTCAAGCTTCTGCTCTCGTTGCCGCAACCTTTACCGCGCCTATGAGCAAGAGCATCAAAGAGCCTACGATTCTATTAACTTAAAGTTAATAGCTTTGTTCTTCTGTGTATTGATTTGATACAGATCGCTTGGTTGTTTGCATAAGTGTTACATATAATGTTGTTTTTGCGTCGTTAGCGCGCTAAAATACAATAAGAAATAAGGTTTTCCTTAGTATCTCACCTGCAACACAATTTCCATCTTCATCCCTGGAAAATCCCGTGCAGCACTCGCCGGTGTCGGTAGGTCTGTCTGCGGCCTCGTAGAAGATGTAACTGAAATAGTGTCGAATTTTTGTACAAGGGATGTCTTCATCACTGCGGCTAGTTCCCTTACTTTTTCCCGTCCAGACAACGGCGAGTTCCATTTGGTGATCGCGCAAGGCACAACGGCAATAATAGGATGCCTATCATTTGAATCTGAAATAATTACCCAGGATTACTTGTCTTCGACGGCAAAGTACAGTTACCAAAGTATAGTGAATTACAGAAGCGAAAGAATGCTAAAATTTGAGGTCCATGATAATAAGAAAATATAATAAGTAAGTGAACAATAACAATTAGGTGAACAAGTATTGAAATAAAAAATAAATATCAACTAATAGATAGATCCTTATATGTTTATCTACATATTTTGCCTGAGCGCCGAAAATGCATGGTTATTGATTACATAAGCGTAAAATCAATAGTCAATTCAATGAACATGTACGATTGGAATGGTTTAATATATGGTGCAAAATCCTCCTTCAATAAGGTTCTATTCCTTGGCTCCTAAGAAATAATGCCATTCAAATTAGGGTACTAACTTAGTTGGGGGGGGGGCACGCGGCGGCGCGGCAGTCTGCTCACCTGGGCCTCTCGAGCGAGACAGTGTAAACTCGAACATTCCAGCTTTTCACGCATGTCACCGCTGCGGTGACGCGGTGAAGTTATACTACCCCCCCAACCCCCTAGGCTGGCTACACTCCCCCTGGCCCACGGATTTCCGAACATGCCAGACGAGCAGACTGCCGCGCCGCCGCGTGGCCCCCCCCCCAACTAAGTTAGCACCCAAATTAGTTATGCACTTTACTAAGACTCCTAAGGTACTACCATAAAAAAGACGCTCATAGCCATGGAGAGTGGAGGGGGGTCATTCGAACTGGGCGCTGCAGAACCACTGGTTAGGTGACACAAGAACGAAGCACAAGAGGGGAAAATGCCTGGAAGAATGAAAAAGGCCCACATCCCCCTTTAAAGTCTTCCTCTTAGTCATACATACTGATAAAATGGTTCACATTAACCGGAATGCTGCCCCCCCCCCCCAAAAAAAAGGCGCATGAATGCAAAAAGGAAAATAAACGCGGACGAATCTAATTATAAAGCTCTCATATCTCATGCGATACATTTGCGCGTGTTGAAATCGGAGGATAGCCTAAGCTACTTCTGGATATGATAGGTATTACTGGAAATGGCGCTATGGCAATGTACGGGGGCACAGTGGTGGCAGTGCATTTGGAACCGTTAAACGTGTCTTTTGTGGTTTGAAATTGGGGCATAAGACGCGCATGTGGGGGTGGAGAGACTGCAAAGTGCGTTAGCCATTTTCTTTTCCCCCAGAGCTCCTGCCCATTCTAGGCATAGTTGTGTAGGATGCCCCCGTATATTGCGACAGCTCCCTGGAAAAAAATTGCGAGAACCCTGAGGCGATGAAAAGCACATTGCTAGAATTTTGAGGAGTCGAAAAATACCAAAATGTGAGAAGATTTGAGTTCATTCCTGAACGGTGGGCTATTCTAAATAGTAAAAATGAGTTGACCTTGCTTTTCCGTCCGGATCGTAGCGCGAAATGCCCGTTCGAGTTGATTCATTCACTCAGATATTTTAAAATATAGCATTGTTAATTGCTCAAGAATGTTTTAAAATGTGATTTTCTCAGCACCACAGAATCGACGATCAATACGTGCGCAAAATTGATGTAATATGCGCATCAGTGCAGGAGCCGAGCTGTGAATGCGACCAAATGTGAACTATCGAGATGAAAATTCGGGTAATAGCGCTCTTCCACCTAGGCGCAGGTTGGCGGCGTTGTCGATGACGAAAGCGGACGTGGAGTTCACCGTCAGTGTCTGGTGATAAGATAAGGAGCGGTCTCGACAGACTTTCAGGTATGGGTAAAGGGTTAGTTAGCAAGCATGAGTAATCACATAATCACATCTCCTGTTCAAGTATGTCAAAAATATCAAATAAACTATTTTTTTTCTAAATTTTTGTTCCAACTCTGAGGCAACTTGAAGTGGCAAGGGGCGCCACTGTCAAACGATCTGGTCCATAGATCGGACTTTGTCAACATCAACTAAAGCCTCTGCTCTGGTTGCTGTCATTGACTGGACAATCATTCTCTGAATCGTGACCGGAGCAAAACACTTTGGATGTTTGCTTCTCTAAGCTGCTGCTCCTTTGGGATGATGGAAAAGCTTCTTTCGGGAACAGGCATCTTGAAAAAGGGTCCGCCTGGTCAAGAGATTTCCACTTGCCGAAGGTAACACGTGCGACTGGAGATAGTTAAAGAACCACTTCAGCGGTACTCTCATCTCTGACATAGGACTTTGCTTCCTGTGGCCGTGCTTGTCGTAGTTACAGACTTAATAACCCATTTGACATTACCCATCGAATGTGAACAAAAGGGGACACGTGGTACCGATTTTCTTGAGGCTGCCGCAACTACTAGACCGACATCATTGCAGGGCATGTAGTACTTGTAAAGAAATAGTCACGGCATGGTCGACAGCGGAACCAAAGTAAACGAAATAAAATGCTTCTAAAGTCAAGTACGTGGGCGCACCGGGCCAAGTTGTATTGCATTGAATCCAAAAGTACACACAACTAAATGCCACCAAATGACAAGAGAATGCGTGTTTTCATGACTTGAAAGTCATATTTTCCAGCAGGCAAAAAATAAGTGGGGTACGTTATCAGAAACTATGTAGGGAGTAGATTGGTATCTTTCCCTGAAAGGAGATTTCTGATTGAAACTGATTCGAGCGTTCTCGTTAGGAACTCATTGTAAAGCCAAATTCTATTTCGTATTCAAATGGACTACAATTATTAAAAGAAGTAGAGTTCATGGCGCATTGCAAAAGAAGGGATAGATAATTGGATGACGCCCGCATGTTTTCCCTTTATCCTTCTGTGGCTCATCTGACGTTATGAGCTGCGCTCAGAGATTCTGCACGATGTTCTACTGTAGAACTGACACCTAAAGAGAAGCCTCCTCGATAACTCTGCAAGTGCGCGTACGATAAGAAACCAGAAAGTTACCTATCTACAGTGGTTGTACACCGTGTGGAAAGCTCTGAACCAAGTCGTACTGACTTCAGTGTAACCCAAAATGAGAAAAATGAAGCCGAAATAAGGCTATGGGAACAGGTGCAAATAGCGGAGTGCCCTGGTGCCGCACTGCATCTCAAAGGTCCGAACCTGTTCGATCTAAACCAGTCCTCTATTTCTTCGGGTTTAATTGGTGCCACACTCGTGTGTACTTGGTTGGTGTAATAATGCAGGGACAGTTTCAAGAGATAAGTGTGAATAAACTAGTTAGGTTTGAGTAAAAACATTAGAAATTAGAAATTAGGGGGGGGGATAATCAAATCAATTCGATTGGACTTCGCTTGCGCAGGTGCCTGACAACGGAGCAAACTACGAAAATACCCCTCTCCGTGCTCTTCAGTAAGGAAAGAGTATACATCGAAAGGCGTAAAAGGACAAAGATAAGTATTCGGCGTTGAGCAAATCCGTTTTGGATGCGCCACGCACTGTACTTCCATTCGGAATCCTTGTGGTAATTTGAATGCGACTCGGCCTATACAATGACTTGTGGGAGCCAGCCGATGAGACAGTGTTTTTTAATCTTCAAGACAAGCCTTCTACCATTTAATCGAGTCCGGAATGATGGACGGCTTGGTTGGCTAGGAACCAGGGTTTGTCCCAGGACCGCCGCGGGATAAGCAGCGCCACTTGCCACTACACCAGTTCCGCCCTGTTAAGTGCTTTGAAAGGCGCTATGTATGGCAATCACTTAATTCTATTTGCCTCTAATTACAAATAAAGGATACTATTAGGATGCTTTATTAGGATAATGGAACTACAAAAATAGCGAGGATCCTGTTCACATTAATAACGAATTCGTAGAACGACAGAATTACGATTAGCTCTAAGAAGCAAAACAAGTTAGATGGGACACCTTGGTTCTGCAGATCATGGATTAAGTTAACGCTCACTTTGAGCTCAGCCTCGGAAAGAGGAGGAGGGATCAAAAGGACTTGTGCACATTGCCTTCAAGCAGGTAACAAAGGCTATTTGTTGGAATAAAGGCCACAATTACCTACGATGCCCATTCTGGGTGCCAACTTTCGCGAGCTGGACGATCACTCATCTTCTCAACCACCAATCAGGTCTTCACTGTGCAATATTCTTGACTGTTCTGAATGAGACTTTTCGCCAGGGTTGAGATGCTTTACTGCACAACCAACCCTGGTGCCAGCCTTGTAACAAATTTTTGCTTTGTTTGCGCCTTTTTCTACTCACTCGTTGAATTGTTCACCTGCTTATCCCCCCTTACTCTCCCCCATACGAGTCACTTGAGCAAGAAGCACTGTGCATGATGCATTGGTGTACAGGCGTTCATGCGTGGGGTGCAGCATGCCGAGGCGGAGAGCGCTCTGGAAGCATCACACTATCTCTGACCATGGGGACTGCGTCATCGACCGGGTAAAGTCGCACAGTTTTGGGGATCCGTCGCCGGCCGCTCCCTGCTGCACCCAGCTAGGCTGAAAATAGAAAAGATGACTAAAGCATTTGTCGTCGATCAATCTCTTTCGTAGTCGCACTTGAATGCGATTTGACTTAAACAGTGACTTGCGGGGCCAGCCGATGAGCAAGCCACTGTTTTTATCCTCCCAGACATGTCCGGTCCCAATCAACCAACCCCGCAGAGATGGAAGTCTTGGTTGACTCGAACGACGCACGACCCAGGAATCGATCCCCGGACCGCGCGCCTAGTGAGCCAGCCGCATTGCATTACACGCACTTTCCACCACGAATGGTAAGGCCAATTAGACTAAGTTGCGAAAAGAAATAGAACCGTAAGTGAAGGCTTTCCAAACTGAACACAGCGATCAGCTGCGGCGGGCCTGTAGCTGGATCGGTTGGAACAGCAAGTATGGGCCTTGTAGCCTATACCGCGCAAAAACCGCGAAAGACATGGCTCAACACAGCATGGTTGGTTGGCGCGTGCTCTTCACACATAAACCTTTGTGTAGAAATAAGTACAAGAAGTCAAATGGCTGAAGTAATCAGGATCGCGCTACTACTGTGGAGCGCATAAGGGCGCAAAATGTGCTGAAATAAGCATAATACGCCCATGTGTAAAGCGC